CCGGCCAACCACAACTAACTCTAGTGTGCTCCTTGGCAGTTTCCAATGTCAGGCCTGGGAGAGTTGTGCCACCCACATCTACACTCCGCTCCGCAGCTCAGGAGGCCGTCTAACGGGGGGTGGATGCGTGGATTATCGTTTATGGTTTATTTGACTCCACCAGTTTAGGTTGAGGTGGCCCATCCGGGGTTTTTCTATTGTTTTCTATTGTTAGGATAATTTTATAGTGAGTTCACGTCTAGGTTTCCGGATTTAGATGCCGATGTGGATTTTTGGAAAAAAAAAGGTTGACAAGAAGACCATTCAGCCATTAAACGCAGTAATCCCATCAACACATGAAGTTGTCTGGCTAGATTGATCTCTTAATCATTGTAAGACTATATATGTCATACCGCTGTGGTATCACGTTTTAAAGAAGTTGACGAGCTCTAACAATCGTGTAAACAGATAGTATTTTTGGTGTCGCCCCTGTTTTGTTTTGGTGATGTTGTGCCAGAAGCTCCTGCGTTAGGCACAGAGGTCACGTGACGAGCCCCGAGGACCAGAGAGTTCCTGATCTCATTACCAAGCTCTAGAGAGTCTTACTCTGTATAAACACTGGAAGGGAACAGGCTAAGTCCCTCAGCGGCGGCTTGAGAACACACACACACACCTGCCTGTAGTTTTGTAAACGTCAGGCATAGTAGAGTGTTTTCGAGTGACATTTCTTTAAAGAACAACTGCACTAATAACACATTTATTCATAAGGTTTTGGAGTAGCGCTGGTAGTGAGTGATTTCCCCTCAGTAGGGCAATACGGTTTTATGAGACAGGCAAAGGTGATTTTATTGTGCCATTTATAGCCATGACACCCACAACCCCATGTTCCTTATCTATGATAGTCAACCGGCTTCTCAACTTTCCCACACGTGCATCCCATCGCCTTACGCTTTGAGGACAACCTAAAGCGTAAAATAGAACTACAGTAACGAGTCTGCTGCACCAAGATCACTCCAAGTTCCCAAAACTGTTCCATTCCTGGAGCAATGATACTGTGCTGTAAAATCTGGCCGGCAACAGACATTCCACGGCCGGCAATGCGTATGCATGTCAACAATAAAAGGTTGTGCCATTTTCAGAATATGCACGTGATAATTTGAGACATGTCGGTTGCTAAACTTAGCCGCCGAGGTGGACCTTGCTCCAGCAGTCGGCAAGCCGCTGGAGGACGGAGGGATGGGTGTGCGAATGGGTGTGTCGGAGGCCGTGAACACAGGTCATGCGGCATGCGGCGGAGGAAGGATTGAAGAGTCGTGGCCGGCCCGTTTGGCACTCTGCGAGTGCTGAATTCCACTTTGGCACACTTTTTGCCGTATCCGGAGGAGGAGACACACACGTGCGGACACACACACACACACACACACGGAGAGACCAGGGCTTTAGAAATGGAGAGAGGAAAGAGAGAGGAAGAGAGAGGGTGCTAAAAGCAGCCGCAAGGCCCTAAGAAGTAATAAATCATTGACGTGGTACATACGGTTTAATTGATATAAAGAGTTCAAAAATGGCTCTCAAGCCCAACCCCTGAGACAGCACACGGAACAAAGCAGTAGGTCTTTCAGACATTTTATGTTTGATAAAATGTTTTTTTTTATTGATATTAAAAATGAAAGTACATGAATTGTGCATTTCGGACGTTCTAGCGTGCAGAGGTTAAATCAATAAAATACACACAGGCTGAGTGAGCTACTGACACTGAAGAAATTGCCATCGCTCGGCAAGATATCTTTTCATATTCAGCGAAAAGAAGTGGTTGTCTTTCACGCCATTCATAAGAACACAAAAGTAGCCTGTTTGAACATTACAATAGTGAATGAATGCAGTCCTAGCAGGAAAATATAGAATAAAATAGATAATATAATAATATTATCAATAATAATAATAATAATTGCACTGCCTGCTTTGTTGCACAACTGAAGTAGAATATAATTATAGGAAGGACGCAGCTTTGATTATTGAGATCTCTGTGAAAGAAAGAAGATATAAAGTATTGGCTTGACTCCACCACAACGGGGCGAGTATCCATTAGGTCTCTCTCTATTTCATGGGTGATGCATGACACAATAAAGGGGGGGAACTATAAAGTGGCACAGACGGACCTTGTTTCTGACGTGGGCTTCAGTGGTCTGTCACAGAGGGCTGTGTCATTGTGGACAGGTGTGGGTTTTAATCTCGGCTGCCCTTCCACAACGAGATTATCACTGACACTCGGCAACTGTTGGGCTTCTCCCTCGGAGAGCACAGATTGCTGTGATTCCTGAGTGCTTCAGAAATGGTTCAGCGTGATAGCCCTTCACCAAATGCATAATGGAGGGGTGACTGGAAGATTGTTGAGGGCTGAATGGCAGGCAACAACGCCCCCCCCGCCCTCGCCACGCAAGTACAGACGCAGACTGTTGATGCACACGATCAGGGACATTGTCTTTTACAAACGGAGAAGACAGGACCGACGGGCCGACAGTGAGGTGCGGAGCGACGATTCGCTCCCTCCCAACAATCATTAGATGACGTTTGATATTTGATAGCATCATAGGAACACCATTATCTGTAAATTAAGGCCTCGACACAAGGACTTGTGTAAGTCAAGTGTAAGCAAAACCCTTAAATTTACAACTGACTGCACATTTATGACCTCATGACCCAAACTAACAAGCAACAACATCAGTGGCACTGGCACATACAGGCAAGATGTTCCTTAGGAGATCATATAGGACACCATGCACAATTACAAACACATGATTTAATGAAGGACTGATCATTCCCCTGCCATCAATACTAAAGTGGCTTCAAAACATAGTGGGTTTGAGTACAATCATTGTTGAACAGTTATTTTTCCAATAATAAAGTCACTCATTAATGCTATCTTTTTTGCAGAAACCCCTGACAGGCTTCTGGAAATCCATGCAGACCAACGTATTCAGAGTATGTGCCTATTTCTGTGACATAACATGCCTAAGCAATCCAGGCTATGCTGCTGTTAAAATATTAATTTAAAGTAACTATGGCAAACAAAAAAGGAAAAAAAGACATTATTTTTGGTACAAAGCATCTACGAAAAAGCCTTACAACTCCAATCGGAAAACAGAGATCATACAAAATAAATCCGTCATTTGAGCATCAGTGCTACGTATATTATTTGGACCAATTTCTCAAATATATTTTATAACAAAATAAATAATGCCTTTATACAGTGCCCTTATTTGTATTTCAACAAACAAACAAAAAAGCTTGGCGGCTCATTACGCAAGATACAGCTCAGACTAAAGGAAAATAACACAACCTCCCTGGAAACTAATTATGTATAGATATTTATCTATAGATATATATCTATATATACCTATATATATACCTATATATATATATATATATATATATATATATATATATATATATATATATATATACCTATATACACCTATACACCTATATATACCTATATATATGTATATATGTATATATACATATATATACATATGTACATATACATATAGATATCTATATGTATATACGGTATATATATATATATATATATATATATATATATATATATATATAAATGTGTATATATATTCAAGTATTTGTTTTCAGGCAAAAGCAGAATACTACTGATATACAATAAAATAAAATGTTAGTTGAAATTATTGCTGTTTTTTTCCCTTTGAATTAAAATGTTGTGCCTTTCATTAGAACTGTAAAATAACATCATAACAATAACCACGGAAACCCAAGTAAAAGCCTAACTTGGAAAAAACAGGAATGTCACGGTACCAGAAACCTAAAGGGTTTTCCTTTTTTTCATTAAAACATTGATATGAAATGAAAACAGAAAATAAGACAAAATAAAATAGAATCATTATCCCACTGAATCTTTGTCCAATGCCACGTTACTTCTTGTCAGAGCAGTCTGAAAAGCCATGGCAACCAGGAAGCACTGTCCCAGAACTGTAGTGCTGTCTCAATCCAGGCAGTCCACTGTGTCCCGCATGTGTCCTCACACTGCTCCCCGTGTCTGGCAGGGACAGAAAGAACAGGCACTGGGTCTCCGGTCCCCCTTTGTCGCTATTGACGAGCAGCTGGTATCACACTCAGCTGTGAGCCTCGATGCCGATGCAGCCCATGTCTCCTCTCAGTGACACTTCCCCCTTGACAATGCCACTGCCAAGCGCTCCACCATATCCTTTATCTTCCTTTTTTCAAAAGTCACACTTTCCTTAAAACGGAAAGTTTTAATATTAATTCAAAGAGAAAAAAACGTGCTTTTCAACCTCTTCTTTGAGTCCATTCCAAAAGAAAACTCATTGACAATTTTTTAAACCACGCGGTGCGTGCTCATAAAAAAAAAGTTCGCATTGTTCCTTTACTTTGCAGTACTTGCGGCGCAAGGCGGAATTTTGTCGGCTTTCTTTTCCGCTTTTTGTTTGGGAGACCAAAGGTGTGGGAACCGGGAATCTTAAGTTACCAACTAAATCTCTTCCGTGGGGGAGAGTCCCCTTTTTGTAAGAGGTGCCAACCTATTGGAAAAATTTCCTAAAGGAGTTTTCTTCTCACCTCAGACAATATGTTGAGGCATGGATTCTTTCGTCGGTGCAGCTCTTGACTTTCACTTGTTTTCCGCAAGGACAAAAAACTTTGTCGCGTGTTGTCTTCTTGCCATTTGCACAGCACAGATCTCTTGCATGTTCTTTTTCCCACCCTTCCCTTTTCTCTTTTTCGGGGGGAGGACTCTCCTGAATTGCATTCAGCCCAATTGTTAAATTTTTTTTCATGGTCTGTTTTACAGCCTTTCGTGTCGGTGACTGAAGGGGAGAGGGAGCGAAGGAGTTCGGACAGGAAGAATGTGAAGGCATGTTTGTGTGCCTGAGGAGGATGGGTAGGGAGTGGGGGGTGGGGGGGGTGGTGGGGGCATTAGAGAAGGGCCACGGGGTCAAGAAGTAGTGGATGAGCGTAGGGGGGGGGGGGCGGGGGAGGGGGATCGGTGGGCTCGGACAGGGCAGGGGAGGTCAAAGAGGACTGCCACAGAAATGACGCCAGAGACAAAGCTATAATCCCCTAGTCTTTTTTTTTTTCTCTCCCTCTTGTCTGTGCAAAGGGCTGGCAGCCGGCTCATTTGTGGTTGAGAGAGTCGTCCGTGGCGAGCAAGACGGGAGGCAGTTTGCTGGGCAGGCTGATGAGGGGCCTGTGGAAGACCGCCTGCTCCTGGGCTTTGATCTTCTCTTCCTGCCTCCGAAACCTTCTGGCCCTCAGGATGGCGGGGACACCCCCTCCGGAGCCGCTGGGCCGCCTTCCTTTGCCACACCTCGTATTTGGAATACTTCACGGTCACATGCTGCTTCCTTGGGACTTCCTATTGTGGCGTGCCGGCAGAGAATAGAGGAAAAGGGGGGAAAAGAGAGGGTCAGTTCATTAGTTGTGATAACATACAGTGAAAGTGCTCATTACAATGGAGGAAAGCCTTGTTTTTGTTTGTTTTTTTTAAACATTCGGTCATTGTTTGGCCGGTTCAATGGAAGTCAAATAGCCTTCTTATAGCGCGGGACGTCATAACAGACTCGCATTGCCTCCAACTTGCCCTTGTTTTGGCTTCCTCGGCTGAAAGAAGCAGTCAACGAGCTCTTGGTTCAGCCTCTTTAACATACCGTCAAAGGGAAGGGCGGCCGCTCGCCTCATATACATATGAGGAGCACGACGTTCACCCGACGACCCGCTGAACCGCCTAACCTCCACAGGCCGAATGAAATAAACACATTGTCGTATCAAAACCCCTATTCTTACGCGGCAAACTCTATTCTACCTAGGGTTAAGTGTTGTGCTGAGCACCGCAGATTGAGACAAAGTGGGAGTGGTGGCAGGGAGGCTAGAATTTATGCGTGAGTAGTCAGCGCTCCATCTGAATGGCTTGTTTTGGTCCTGCCACTTGAGAAGTGTTTATCCCCCTTCATTCACTGCAGGCCTGTTCAATAGCCAAAGAACAGCTGGCCCTCAGAGCAGGCTGTACCCATCAACTCTGCCTTCCTACACAAACGAGGGACATGTCCCAACTAATTCCCTCTTGCAAACCTCCTTTTTTCCCGCATTTTAGAAGCTTGGTACATGTCTTTCTTCTGGCTATTTGCAGTATTTATTGTGTTCTGTTTGTTTATCCCCCAACATCACATGGCACGGATACTCATGCAAGCCGATGCAGAGGAATGATAAAAGTCTATCCAGCATAACCCGATGGGGTTTTCGAAGAGATCTGGAAAGGAGCCACCGTTTAGTCCCGCGATTGCAGTGAAAGGAGCTGAAACGCTTTGATGATTCCCTGCACGTCTGAGACACATTTAAGAGAGGTTCTGCCGGCCAGGTCAGGCATTTCTTACCAGATCAAAACGCATGCCCGCTTGCTATTCCGTGACTAATAATCAAACACAAAGAAACAGATGTATCTTAACATCTCACAATTCTCTCTCTCTAACACAAACACGCACTCTCTGACGTACACAAGTCTGTGAACACGACTCGGTGAACACAATGTGCCGTGACTGTCTTGATGCTTTCCGCGATGCTCAGCACTTCACACGGAGGCTAACTGCCTACCTATGACCATTTTAACAAGATAAACCTGTTTCTGTGTCCCTGTCTCTTATGGACATAGGGGTGAGGCTCAGAGGTGAATAGAGAAAAGATCGAGACCAGGATTGGAAATGTTTCCATACCGGCCCGTTGTTTTTGTCTAAACGTACCTGTTTTAGTGCGGGCATCATGGGTATGACCTGCAGAGAGGTGGCCGACACGTCCCTTTCGGACTTGGCGGGTTTGGCACAGTACTGCTCCAGCAGGTTGAGGTCACAGCTACGGAAACAACACTCCTCTACGATCCCACGGTTCTGGTTGCGCCGGTTGTTACCCCTGCTGGTTGGCCTACCTGAGAAAAGACACAACAAGCGATAAGGAAAGGCTGTGATGAGGGTGATGTTCAGACCTGAGAACACTGACATCAATAACGAATGTGGGTTGTTTTTGCTGGATTACTTGGACAATCATAGCATTCCATAGAGAAAAGGGGATAAAAAAAAAAAACCTCTATGATCAACTGCAACACACTTGTTTGTGGGGGATGATCTGATTAGCGCTGCCCTTAAATGAGTGAATACACAAGGACACTGTTGTAGACATCAAAAGAGAGTGATGGAGACAGACAACTAAGCTCTCAGACTGATCTTTGGCTGAGCAAACACGTAAAATGGAAACTCTTCTGTGACCTTGTCCTGTGTCAAGTCAGCATAGATAAAGAGGATGAGGAGGGGCCCGAGTAGAGAAAATAACGGAAAGGAGATCAGTGTAGAAAAGAGAGAGAGAGGGTGTGCGAGGGTCAAAACAGTGGGAAAGAATGAAAAACAAAAGAGGGGTTGAGTGGAGACGTGGGAGAAAAAGGTGTAGAGGAATACAGTCAGGGGAGATAGCATGTTGCACAGGGGAAGACTATTCGCAGCCAATAAAAGCCTGGTTTTAGGCCCTGTGCACAAATCTCACAAGGAAGACTTTGGATTGCAGAAAGAGGAACATGAGAGAGACAGAGGGCGATGGGGGGGACGGGGACGAAGGAGCACATCTACAGGTTCGCCTTCACTGGATATGGATCGTTCCTAATGGGGAGATGCTTCTGTGGCAGACTGCACGCAAATAAGCTGCATGTCTGTCAAACGTGAAAAGCAGGGGGGGTGGGACGATATTACTATGGGGGGGGGGGGGGGGGGGGGGGTAAGGGGGTTCGCTGCCGGAGAAATCCTAGAGGAAGGTGAACCCGTGTATGTCACAGACACTGTGCAATCAGAAGCTTATCCACTTGAGGATTAACTAACCATAATGCTTTTCGTCTATCCCCATCACCACTGCATTCCTTAACCAAATCAAACCCCAACACAAAGTCATTGGTGCTGAGGTGACTGGAATGCCCCTCGGGGTACTTTTACTTGACTGGTAAACAAGCAGCCCATTGTGTCGCGCCGTGTCGTGCGTTTTTCACATTGCTTTCATATGCAATGAGAGGTGGGCGCTGTCCCGGACGAGGTCTTCAGACTCTCAGCTGGCCACAACCCTCCCACACGCACACACACACACACACACACACACACACACACACACACACACACACACTCTAGCGCTATCTGGCTCTCAGCCTGAGTGTATTTGCGCACGCGCGCGCTGTGAGTGCGTGAGAAGGTAAAGACACTAAACGCGCACCACGCAGCCACAGACGGAGGGATATCGCCTCAGCTATCCAAACAGATGTGCGCGAGTGAACAACAGAGGGGGGGGGGGGGGGCATACAGAGCGAAGCAGCTCGTTGTGTTAAAACGTGTGCGTGTGTTTGTGTGTGTTTTTTGGTGTTTGAAACCTACTGAAATAGAAGCCTCTGTCTTCACAGACAAACTGCAGCGCATCCACCAGCTCTCCCCCACACAGCGTCTCTGCCGAGGCCATTTCCACAACGTAGAGCGCGAGGGCCAGTGCCAAGAGCAGCGCGCGACTGGACGAGGACATCTTCTTCATCTGCAGATGGTGGGAAAAACACACACACACACACACACATGTCAGAATAAAGATTCAACAAATGCGACTGCACATTTCGGAGGTGGCATTCAACAACGAAAGAATCTCAGCTGAGAGCCAGATGTTGCGTTTCTGTGTGATATAAGAGGATAAACCATTCACGCGCTCGCATTTGGAAGCGTGCGTAAGATGTACGACTCCAGGCATTACGTTGCCCCCCCCCCCCCCCCCCCCCATATATGTATTGACTTACAAACTCAGAAAACCCCGTTGCAGCAACAAACGACAAATTATTCGAAATGGGCAATTCCCCCCTTTCCTGGAACTGTTTTCTGTCACTGGGTTGGACCTTGAGAAAACTGCTTATTCTGGCTGGGGGGTAGACGGTATCTCTGTCTTTCGCACTCTTACACAACTCCCCCGAAGTTGCGAGACCGGTTGTTCGATACTTAACTATCCGAAAAGCCAGACTCAGCATATATTTTCCCCTTGCTCACCCTTTGGTGAGCTCACTGACCCCTCAGGCTCACCGACCCCCCTATCTGCCGACAAAAAGACCAGCTGTTTGCTGCGTCTCATCCAGACGGAATACGATCTACACTCGCGTTTTCTTCATTCTTAGCGGGCAGCCTGTTGCACGAATGCTTCAAAGCTTCAGCCACCGTCCATGTCGATCTTGCATCCCGAACGTACTTTGTTGCATGCAAATTAAAAGATGTCCGATTGCTCACATTTTTTGCACAGAAACAAACAAACAAACAAAAAAGATGCGCTCAATGCATCTGGGAAGCCCGAGGCGGTTTTCTTAATAAATCCGATAAAACGTCGTTATAACACTTGCTTGTTGTCTTTCAAACACCGGCGCGACACAAGCGGACAGCATCAAACTATGTGTTTCCCTTTTTTTTTTTTTGGTTTACCTTCATTCGGCTCATATCTGTTCGTCTGCAGGTGTGGCAGCGCGAGTGGTGTCCCGGTCTCTTCTGTGTGTCCATTTCAGTTAGCAAAACGTTGTGGTTATTTTGGTTTTTGGAGAGGTTGCAGGTGAGTTAGTTTCCCAGTTGCTGCGGCAAAAGAGATGATGTGTGAGAGGCTGCCCCAAAGACCAGGCGACAGGCACAACTTCTCAGGGAGAAGCGCTTTATACCCAAACACGCCCCTTGCACCCACCCTCGCTCCTCCTCCTCACCACTGGTGAAAAAAAAAATGGTCCAGAGGCGTTTTATGGAAAAGTGCTTAGGGGAGAAAAGGAAAAAAAAGAAAGAGTGAGAGTTCTGTGAATGTGAAACAATTCCATAGGCATTTCTTCCACGTTTACGCACCGAAACCTACAATCACAATGTTTACGCACAGGACGCAGACTGAACAAGAATAGAAGGTAATTCCTCAGACTCCAAGGGGCATTTGAATGCCTCCGCCCAGCTGTAATTGAGATTGACATTTAGAGTCGAAGCACTGTGGCCAGGGGTCTGCGGTTTTCCTCTCGCTCAGGTGTAAATGTAGCCTTTAGTCACCAGGGTCGACTGGTGTTTTAGTGAAGGTTAAGATATAGTCAGTGTGTCCCACGCGAGGGCGGGAGGAGGCTGCAACGACTCCCACTTGAATGGCGCAGAATTGCAGGAGACATGCATGATGGTTATCAAACAGAAAAAAACAATCAATGTCCCTCCTGTGGGTTTAAATGTCCAGCAGAGAAACCTCCATCCAGATGTTGCACAGATGCTCCATGACAAGTGGCTGCATAGCCCACCCCGAGCAATGCACTTTCTGTTTTTTTCTTCCTCATCTTTTTAAAACAGTTGGAGGGTTCCCTTATATAAGTATAGCTTGAGCAAAAGGTGAGACTCTAGACATGTCTTCAGACCGACACCTAGTGGTCCACGTAGGGAACAACTGTTTGTTTGTCTTGCAGCGTTGCCGAGGTCGGAGGGCATCTCTGCAGGCAGGTACACCCGACCGGACTGCGCCCTCTTGTGGCAGATTAACATCAGCTATTATGCAGCCAAGCGCACCGCGTGTGTTAAACATCTCAACGTGAGAGTTTGTTTGATGGGTTGTGTTTACTTGATCAGTAATCATCAAAGGAAGAGTATGTTTTCATGTTTGATTTTATTATGCATATAACCTTCAAGACAAATACAGCATGAAACCAGACAAATCGACCAATTTAGAAGTAGATCAATACTCAAATACAGAAAATAAAGCTTTCAACGCAGCAGATGTGGTCCTTTCTAAATAAAATAAATATAATTTAAATGTACATTTCAGTCTTAATTCTACCATCATGTTTCTTTATTTTTTTAATTGTTTTTCTTTAAATACATTCATTATATCAGATGGTTTTTTTTTAAACGCAGGAATGGTCTTTAAAACCCAAAACCCATTTCAAGCAGCGGAGCTTTTAACATCTTTGGAAACTTTGCCTGCACTGCGTAGTGAGGTTGTAATGGTTGCAACCTTGTCGGTCAACCAGCCAGCTACAGCGAACAACAACTCATCAGAAACAGCATCATACTGGAGGTACGGCACAGGAAGATTAACACATTGGTCTTGATCACACGTCGGACGTCTCAGAGCGCAGCAGAGAGGAAGCAGACAACACAGCAGGCCGGTCGCAGCCCGGGGCGCCATCATGACAAAACGCTGAGGGCATCCGTCAGTATCTTTAGCTCGTCCTTCAGGCCCTCCAGACCTCCTTGGATCTTCAGCGGGTTGTCCAGCACCTCCACGCTGCTGGTGTACGGATCAAACTTCACGGAGAAGGGACGCTTGATACCGGACACGTACTCCCTGGTGAAAGATTTCAAACAAAAAAAGCAAGACCTAAACAAGTCAAAGTGTTTAACTGTAACAAAGTGTAGGACTGGTGTTTGCTTGTAGAGGCACCAAATTAAGACCAACACCCCACATGTGTGTATCACATGCTCTGTTTCTTCTTCACCACGCTTTTACAATCATTCCCACGCTGACATTTTCTCATTTAGCTTGGGAGGGATGCCCTCTGCTTGGCTCTAGAAGAGACCAAAACGCTCACTTAGGCTACTTGTTTTTCAGGGAAACATTTGATCTGTTTGCCAATAGAAATTCCAGGGCTTGGCCTTGGTAGATCGACTACATTAGTAACAGCTGTCTTTTGGCTGCCATGGCTGACCTACAAATCCTAGTGCCCTCAGGGGTTGACTGGCTGTTCTCTGACCTTGTCCTCACAAAACCCCCCTCTCCTCTTTTTTTTTTCGTTCATTTTTTTCATTCTCCTCTTTGTTCTTCTCTATTCGCATGCGGGTGCAAAGAAGAAAACGGGGGGGGGGGGTATTTGTTTGGTACCTGAATTTCTCTTTTGCATCTACAAAACTCTCAGAAACAAAGTAGACCGGCTGGTACGTCTGGTCTTGATAAGGCTGCACGGCTGCAGCCTCCGGTTCGAACTGCCTGGTCTCTGGCTCGTCAGACAGTGAGTGCTGGAAGTAAAAGTTTGAGGGGAAAACACGAAGGATTAGCGTACAGCTCAGTTGACTGTGATTGTTGCATTTATTAGTTTATATTCAGAGAAAACACGGGGAAAACCCACCACAAGCTCTCCGTAAGAGGAGAGCAGTCCAGCTCCGTAAGCCCTCACCTCACCGTTCTGTTTGCATAAGCCATACTCGACAGTGAACCAGTACAGCTGATGGGAAAAACAGGTGGCGAGAGAAAGAGTAGCATATATATCGGCGTGGAAAATCAAGTCATGCTGTACAACATGTGGATGTTATTTTTGATGTGGGATAAAGGGACGGTACGAAGTGATTGGGGAGGGAGGTGGAGTCAGAGAAACGGGGAGTCTGGAGTCTGATTGACGATAGACGAGGTCGTTGTGGCGCAGGGGTTAGCGAAGGTGTGCTGGGAAGCACAAGGTTGGTGGTTTGAGTCCAGGGTGCCCTATGTTCCAAGTCGAAGTGTCCCTGAGCAAGACACCTGACCCCTAATTGCTCCCCAGGCAAAAATGTGAAAAGGCCATGGGTTTAAAGTGTGATGTAAGTCGCTTTGGATAAAAGCATCTGTAATGTAATGATTGTTTTGCGAGGGCATCGGGGGAGGGTCTGTACCCAGACTTAAGTTTCTCCAGAAATGTGCGCACCATGAAGTTGTGTCTGGCAGCATGTAGGGGACAACCATGTCTCTTTATTGCAAATTCATATGACACTTTATTTAAGCAGTACAAGAATGTCAAACATGCAACACACGGGCCCCTCCACAAGGTATATGATGTTTACTGGCATGGTGTTCAAAAATGCAAGAACTTGCAAAGACTTTCGAAAACGAAGAAGATAAATATATCCTTCACAGGTTTGAGGCTTTTTTCTTTGTCGTACACAAGAGATCAGTGATACGTCTGAGGCTGTTCATCACATTTTTTGTAAAGGGATCGTTTATTAAGAGTTAAAAGTTTTCATGGATCGTCATAAATATTTTCTGGTCCAGTCCACTTGAATTAGGTAGTATGTGGCCATGAACTAGTAGCTGTTCTAGTAGCTGAGAACAATTATTTGAGTTATACAAAAACAATAGTAGAAAGTCCATCACAAAAATTAAGAAAATTGAAATTGAGGCTGAGTGGTATTATTAGCGATAGATTTTACTTAGTTGAGATAATATTAGTAATACTGGGGAGGGTCTTTTGTTTTTAAACACACACACCCTCCCTTCACCTCGATCAGTTGTTAAGTGGTGTCTGTGATGAGTGTGTCTTACTGTGGATAGTTTCTCAATATCTTCATCTGAAGCCCCGAGTGATGCCAGACCAAGGTTCTGCAGTAAAGAATGAATGCATTTGTTACCAAAACATTAAAACACAGCGTGGGAAATGAGTACGCCAGACCCTCCTACCACTCACCTGGGAAAACTGGGCAAATGTGCGATCGGCCAGCATGGGCACGTGGCCCAGCAGTTCATGCACACAATCACTAAGAGAAAGCGAAAGATTCAACAGAGACACTATTTGCTTCACAATGGAAAGGAAACACGGACAGACTATGATACATAGGCAATTAAATTTGGATTGAATTTGCACAAAAAGTGAAATAAAATTGGTGACGATAAAACCAAACACAAGAAGTTTGACTGAACTGGTTTGGAAATAAAAAATCAGACTTTACTCTGTGAATGTGAGCTTATTTAAACAACAAAGGAAACAGGAGGAATAATACAACCACATCCACAATGGATCACTTTTTTATTCTAATTCATAAAATATATATTTTTTTGTTTTCATGATTTTTCTAAATCAAAGAATACATCCACATGGTGGTTGTTCTGTGTGCTTTGTATTTTACATTTTTATTTCACAAGTCCCTTTTATTTGTTAGCTTTGTGCCGTCTGTTTGTTTTATTGCTGTTAGTTATATTTTAGCGACATACCTTTGATATAAACGTCCTAATGTAATTCCTTTAAGCTGAATTAAGAGTAAAGACACGGAAGAATGGGAGGCTTATGGAGGTCTATCGACAGCACATAGGTTATGATGGCAAAATGCCCGAATGTGTGATGCAATGCTTAGGAGGAAAGGAGTCACAGTCGTACTCACGGTTCTGGGGAGTGCATAGGGGAGGAGGAGTGACGGATGTACTGGGTACACTGGAACACCCGGAACGCCAAACTGGCCAGGAAATCTCTGGCTGAGAGCAGACCTGCCACTGGGCGCAGCAGGAACCCTGTACGCTCTGTGCGTGTGTGTGTGTGTGTGTGTGTGTGTGTGTGTGTGTGTGTGTGTGTGTGCGTGCGTAGGGTGGGGGAGTGTGATGTATGTGTGTGTTCAGGAGGTGTGAGAAAAATTGACATACAAACAGAATCCAGAGCTGACTTGATGGCGAGTGTTGACTAAACATTTCTTCAACGTTCAGCATCCCATTTTTTTCTTTACCTTTGAGGAAACAAGACACATCTTCCAACTGGGGAATGTTGTGTGGACTGTACCCACAATGCCTTTCCAGCAGACGCAGGGCCACGAGGTATTCACTGCAGGCATGGGTGATATACAGGTCCCTCAGAGTTGAGTAAACTTCCCTCCTGATTAGGGACACAATCAAAGTTATTTTCTTTAAACAAATACAAAATAATATAGAAAATCACAAAAGAAATCAGGTGTAACTGTT